GGGATTCCTCCGATATGCAGCAGAAAATCTTCATATTTGTCCAAGTTGCACTGTGCAGGCTGTTTTTTTTAGCTTTTGTGTCCCAGTGATGATCAGATTTTGTGAACAAATGGGGAACAATCAGCAGGAGGAGACGATTATTTTGCAGACTAAGTCAGAATTGTATTTATTATAAGTAATATTCAGAGTAATTTAGGAGGCAAGAAAAACTACAAACTGATGATGATGTTGTTTAATCGCTGCCAAACAAACCTGATGCTTCTCAGCTCTGGTTTTATTCCAGAAATCAGGTGTTTCGGTGGTTTTCTTTGCCAGCTGGTTGCTCGGTTTGCTTGTTTAGAGGAAACGACCGGTTCTGGAAAATATTGAACTAAAGCAGAAGTTGTGTCCGGTTTTGTTTTTTTGCTTTCGTTGCACACAAGAGAAGATTGTGTCGGTTCAGCTGTCTTGGATCTCCTCTCCACAGACATCCTGCCTCATGCTTACAGATAATTCTCACCAACAAGAAAAGTCAGCAGGTGCAAATACAAGCGCCGGTTTCTTTCCAGCCACTGTTTTCTGTTTGGATAACTCCCATTCGTCTCTATTTATACCTGCAGGTCAGGTCAAGGTGAAGCCCAGGGAGGAGTTTCTGTTTTGCTTCTCACACTTGTGAGTTTGCACAAAATAACTTTCTGCTTCCTCGGTGCGTTTGTGTCCATGCAAGACACTTAAACCAACAGTTCTACGCTCATGTTAGGCGATAATACAGAAAGTTTTGGTTGCTAATTTCTCTCTCGAGTGTCTTTTTCTGCCTGGTTGTGTGTCCTGGCTGCTCACCGTGAGAAAAAAACACAAACTCTATCGACATATTAGCATCTAAAGATTAAATTCTTGTAGTCAGACGCCTCAGTTAGCTTTAGAGCGAAGGTGGAGTCCATGAAGGACATTTTAAAATCTTCATCTTTTGCTCCGATTACAACAAAATGTACAAAATGCAAACTCACATGCACAGTGAGCAGATTGCATGTATAAAAAAAACATGTTTTGAGGTCATTATAACATATTTTGTGCTCTAATGGAGGCTAAAACGCTGAATGTGAAGAATCACGACTGATCACTTTGGGGTAACTCCTTCCAGCCAATCAGAGGTTTTCTGAAGCGAACAACCTTTAGTGAACTCTGATATCCTCCCTCCCAGACAGACATGTTTTTACCGTAACACACACACACACCCAGGCTGCTCCAGTTTCCTGGCCCATTTAAGCGCTGACGGGGGCATAGCTGTGGTCTGCCGGGACCCGATGCCACTCCTCACCCCTCCTCACCCGTCAAACACCCTCCTCACCCGTCAGACACCCTCCTCACCCGCTTACACCAGCAGCTCCTCCCGACAAACACACAGAATCAAAACTTTGCATGAAGAACTCTTTTTTTTTTTTTAAAGTCACATGCATCCAGATGCCTCCCCCCTTCCCTCCCCTCGCTCCCTCACCCTGTCTGGTCCGGCCCCTCTTTTCTCTAAATCCTGGCTTTGTGTGGGAGCTGGAATGCAACAATGACCATGTTAGCTGACACAGTGTTGGCTCCCTGATCTGCGCTGACAGCATCTCGCCGTCGTCCGGCTCGCTGGCAGCATCTAGCGCTGGCCTGCAGGGCCGGACGCCTGGTTCCTGCAGGGGGGGCGACGCGTTCAGGGGCAGTTTAGATCAAGACTTAAAGGTGTTTTCACTTGTTGTGGCTGATCGGACTCGTGCTCAGTTCAAATATGCACGATTTAGTTGACCTGAAAAGTTAGAGGAAGTCATTTTGCTCTCCAGAAAAAAAAAGGGATGATTCCCACTGCAGCTGACATCTTTATCATTTTGATTAGTTCGCTCACTTTGTGACCTCGTGTAATTAGTGTCGCGACTCTGCTCAGCACCTAAAATCGCAGCCAAATTAAAGTCAGACATCGCTGAGACAAAAAAAAAAAAGGTGTCAGAGGACGTATTGTAGCATGAAAAACAACAAGTTATTAATACTAATCATGTGGCGTCTCTGGCTGCAGCTTCATTCAGATGATAAATACGTTTATTCATCTTTATTTGATCGCGCTAAATTGACTCAAAGCACTTCTCTGGAGAGTTTAACTTTAGTTAATAATGAATAAATACACAGCGGTCCTCAAATATTCATAGCCTCCCATTAAAGAAGGAGAGAAAAAAAACAGCTGAAATAAATTGAAATTGACAAAAGTAATAACAAATAAAAATGTAATCAACATAATGACATTGCTTTTGAATTGTGGTTCAGCAGAAATATTAAACAAAACAAGCCTGATGGGACCCGTAAACTAATATTTAGTTGAACAACTCTTTGAGCCAATCACTGCCATCATCAGGTGTTTCCTGTAACTCTCAGTCAGACGTCTGCACCTGTTGACAGGTGTTTGGATTTCATCAGCAAAGTGCTCTAATTTGTCTGGGAAAGTTTGGGTTTTTTGTTTTTTAAAATTATTCTTTTCAACTACAATTCAAAAGCAACATCTTATTTCACTAAATTATAATTTACCAAATTTTTATTTATTACTACTTTTTTCAGTTTCTACTTATTTGAGTGACTACATTTGAGGACAACTGTATATATTCAACATTTTTCCAGCTGTCTACAGTCATTCAAGAGCAGAATCTGCAGCTTTGTTTGAGATTTCACTTTCCTGGGTGGATCAAAACTCCTTTAATGCAGCTGAGTAGCTTCCACTGGAGTGAACACCTCCACTTGGTTTCGCCTGAGCGAGCGTGAAGTCGTGTCGGTCGTGTTTTGTTCGCGTTAGTGCCACCTGGATGCAGTAATACGCCGGTTCTCCAACACAGAGGAGCCGAACTCAGTGACTTCTATCTAACGTGACTCCTTCTTATTGTTTATAAGATTTATTTGAGTTTCAACCCAGACCAGAGTCCTGAATCCCAACCAGCTCCTTCAGTGACCTCTGTGGTGGAGCAGAGAACTTCCAGGGATCAACAAAGACTCACGTAGCTGCAGGTAACGTCTCAGGTTTGTCGCCGGGACGACTTTAAACCTTCTCATGTTCAACTCCGGCTCGTTTGCTGCAAATCATCTGACAAGTACAGCGAAGGAAACGCACACAGAGTAACAGATACACACTGTCACGCTCAAATTCAGGCAGGAATACACAAAGACAAGCAGCCAAAAGACGCTCAACGGCAGCTGCTCCCCCCTGAAACACATCACACTTTCTCTAAAACGAGATCCAAGGCCCAGCCGCTGCTATTTTCAGCCGTTTGGGATAAAAATAACCCGCCGGCAGCGTTAGTTGCTGGAAAAACTCATCCAGACATTCATTTACTGTAAGTGAAGGACGGGGCGGATTTTATTTAGAGGCTGTTTTCTTGTTTATTTTGGCTCAGCTGGAGCGTAACCAACCAACAGCTGGCAGCTCACAGGAAAGAAAATCCTCCAGTTTAATGTCGCACAGCGTGTACCTGCGAGTTTCCCGTCGCCGCAGGCCGAACACACTTTCTGGCCGCCGTCCCGCCGCCGCTCATCTCAGATTGGAAGTGATTAGACTTTAACGGCTGATCAATCAGGCTTGTGCAAACTCAGCAGTTGGACGGTGGAAGAAGAGGAGCATTATCCAGAGTAGAAGGACTCACCTCTGAGCTCTTGTTTAACGGCCTGTCGTCTCAATACTGCTGATGGGATATCTGTACACTTTTTATTGTCATTTTAAACGCAGCTATTGTTCTCATAACCTCCTGCAGAAGAAGCAAAATCAATGCATCCGTTAGTTTCTTTGCACAATAGTGAAGAATCTCCTCCGTAAAACACACCAGGCTGCAGTTCTGGTGCATGCAGCAGGTATCTGTGCCTCTCTCGGACACAATCAGTCGTCTCACGGCTCGTACAGACGCTCCACTATGTCACAAACTTTGTTATCTCCTTCTCCTCCCTCAGCCAGAGCAGCCCCGCCTCCCGCTGCCCTAATATGGGGGCATCTCTCTGCCCTCCGGCCAATCAGGCGGCCGGACGCGTCCCTCCTAGAGATGCCATGGGCCCGGTCCAGGCCTGAGGTTTCAGTGAGGGGAGCAACAGGCTGGCTGGTGACAAGGGGCAAAGGCTTGAGACACAGAGGGACAAGAATTTAGATAAAATATACCAACAAGAAGCGAAGGGAAGCAGGACAGGAAGTGACATAGGAAGGAAGAGAGAAAGCGTGACGCTGTGCTGCTGCAGGTGGACGTCTGTCACCTTTGAACTGAAGCTGGAGGATTAAGGTAGGCTGGCTGGATGTGCTTCCATAAAACTTCACAGAGGAGCCTTTTTGGAAACTGTGCATCAAGAGCTGAATGTCTGGTGGCTGCTTAGAGGAAAGCAGGTGTCCCTTTAAGTCAGGCTTTCAGGCAGCTGATGTCTCACTTTTGGGAACTTTTGGGAACTAATGCGTCTCCTGCTGGCTTCTCTGTTTGAATATTTCAGTTTTAAATCAGCCTCTGCTTTCTGAAGCGTTTGGTTTTAAGCGTGGCAGCTGCTGGGAGCCGTGCAGGATGGTTTATGGAGCGGCCTGCACACTCCGCATTGCTGACTTTGGAGAGCATAACAATAGTGCGCTGTCCAAATGCAAAAAGACAGTTTTAGGAAGACAGCTGCCGCTTGTGTTTATTCCAGCGTGCCAGTTGCTGGTTACAAACACTTGAGCATTCACTGGTAACTATTTGCAGCGTGACACGTCGCTGCGCTCCAAGTTTATAAGAGTGTTTTGTAATCAGACCTGGGTCGAATGTCACTTGAACATTGCTCGTAGCGTTTATTTAAACCGTCGGGAGTGTCGCTCTGGGTGGGGCCCGCATCACCGGACACCACCAATACTACGACATTTAGAGACGCAGCTGAAGTCCAACGAGTTAATTTGTTGTTTTCCTCATAAACAGAACCGTCAGTGAACCAAACACGTGATCCAATCGGCACCGAACAACATTTTTCTATTTAAAACGCGCCTTGACCGAGGCGTGGGTGCACCGATGCGGCTCAGAGCAGCAGACGGTCATTTCAGATCGTCAAATAGCCCCTGTCTGAATGTTACACAGCCACGACAGCTGCAGTGTGATGGTCACAGGATCCGTTTGGCCTCCAGCTCCGGCTCCCGGCTCAACCCCTCCGCCTGGTATGTGCGCTCGCCCAAAGTGGCTGCCGAGGCCAGAGCGCTCCCGCTTTGTGATGGTGCACCACCGGGTTACGTAACGGCTGGATCTTTGGTTATTTATTGGACGTTCTGATTTGATGCGATCTGAAAGGCAGACTGGTTGTTGATTTTTATTTTTTTATCATTTAGCTCCATGAAACAGAAGTGTACGCTAGTTTAGGTGATTTATTGGTTGCTGCTGCTGCTTTCTGATGATTGTTTGAGGGTTTAACTGGAGATAACATGGACGGGTTTGTTCTGCTTTTCCAGTGAAAATATTCTCACATGGTCAGAACCTTTCTCCACAGCCGTGCTGGAGAACGATCTGCTGCATCTACAGAAACACTCGTGCTTGTTTGTATTTGTTTCTTTAACCCTAATCAGGACTTCTTATGTTTCCATACGTAGAAGGTCTTTGGGGGTCCATTGGACACCAAGACAGAATATGCTCAAAATATCTGTTGGTATTCATTGTGGACTTCTATACGATGCTAAACACATTTTCTGATCAGTGTTTTTGGTTCCAAATGCATGACAAACGTCCCTCTTTTTATATTTAAAACACCAACACCTGTCACCCAAACCAAATGGTCTGGGGTCCAAAAGACCAGGGATTTCCAGCTCTGGTCCCCGTGAGCTACTGTCCTGCAGGTTTTAGACGCTACTGCAACACACCTGACTCACATTAATGGATCTCCAACAGCTTGTTGTCAAGTTCTACACAAGTCTGTTGATGATCCATTCATGTCAGTCAGGTGTGTTGCAGTAACGTCTAAAACCTGCAGGACAGTAGCTCACGAGGACCAGAGCTGGAGATCTCTGGGTTAAACCAATCCCTACTGGGCAGAGCTACAGCCAGGATGGTGGGGAATTGTTTTGGGGGAACATTTGCCCACAGGGAGGCCAGCGTTGTTATTAAAATGACTAACATGTTGCAGGGTCCCAATATTTGTCTAAACCTGCCATTTACTGTGTGTTAGCTGCTGTTTGATGTTGTTTCCTGTAGCAAAGAGCAATTTGAAAACAGCAATGCACAGATTGGAGAAATGGAGGACTTAAACCCAAAGTCTACATCCAGTGAGTCCGACTGCACCGGACATGACAGCATTAGCAAAAACAAGAAAGAACCAACTGTAAAGTCATTAAAGCAAATTGAATAAATGCAGCAGAAGTATTCATTTTTGGGAGCAATCAGACCCTTATCAGTTTATCCTGAATACCTCAGCATTCGTTATAGTTTAGTTCTGCCAATACAGATCCACTAATCACATCTTGTGAATTATAAATTAATCCAACTGTGAGTCTGTGGAGTCAAAGATCAAACATCCTCTGTGTTGTATGGACGTAGGCTCAGCTCGGAGAAATCATAAAACTCCAACTTAGCGTTATTTAGCGTTAATCTGCGCGGAAAATCAAAACGCCGCAGGTACGACTGGTTTGTGCGTCACCGAGCCGAGCGCGGGTGACGCCAGAAACCAAATGATGGATGATGATAGCGGCTTCCTGGCGACAAGCTGTGGGTGGTGGTGGTGGTGGTTGTGTGATTGCGGGCGGGGTCAATTCTAGAGCAGCATTTATAGGGTCAAGTGGGGTCGCCGGTGGATTCTGCGGTTTTAGGAGGGGAGACCTCATGAGGAAACACCGCTTGACGTACGAAAGAGCGTGAACTTCCCTCCGCGAGTCTCTGCAGGAAGGAAGACTCGAGTAAACAGACGACTGGGGAGCAGATGTCATTTAAAGTTTGGGACCCTGTTGAAATGAGTTTATTGGCGAAGTTTTGAGATGCAGCTTCAAGTCTGATCCGGTTAATGTGTGTCTGTGTGTGTGTGTGTGTGTGTGTGTGTGTGTGTGTGCGAGGTTCACCGTGTGAGAAGTGAATCTGTCAAAAATATCTCCTTTTCCTGTTTACACGGAGGCATTTCCCGTCCAGAGGCGGACGCCCGCGGGTGTGTCGGGTTCAGTCCATCTGATGTCTCGGACGGGCAGGAAGCACGCTGGGATCTATCTCAATAATCTTGAACGGTTTGGACATTGTGCCGCTCGGTGGACGCTTTTATCTAAAGTGAATCGCAGCAGCAGCAACGCCTCTGATATTTCCAGCTCGGACGGCCCCGGTGGGAATAAAAAGCCCCGCGGTGTCGGTGCCACGTTGCAGCCGCTGAGCTCTGGAGCCTTTCTCTGCTCCGTCCTCTCCAAGTGAGGAGGCACGCTTACTGTGAGCTCAGGTTCACCTGTTGGACATCATCTCCCCGTTAGAACGAGGCAGCTATAGGACCTACAGGGTGTTTCTCTAATCAATATCCAGTAATTAAGCTCATACTGTAGCTTGTAATCCACTGTACTGTTGTCTTTTGGAGGATAATAAAGTGAGAGAGAGAGTGACTTTATACTTTAAAGTTCTCTTAAAAATTACTTTCATGATACCTGCTTAAAACAATCAGAAACTTACAGCCTCAAGAAAGTTAAACATATTGTTAGTGGTGCCTTCAGTGCAGAAAATTGCCTCCAAAATTGTATGTTTTAAAACTTAATATTCTACTTCTATGCATTTGTGGGACAC